GTCTTTCTTGTTGTATCTGAAAAGTCATCACCACACCCAAGGTCACCTTGATATTCTGCTATGATATCTTCTAGTAGTTTGATAGTTTGGCATATTACATTCAGTTGTAGGATCCATTTTGATTTATTTTTTGTGAAGAGTGTAAGATTGGCGTGTAGATTGTTATTATTATTGGCATGTGGATGTGCAGGTGTTTCAGCACCATTTATTGCAAAGACTACTTAGCTCCATTGTATTGCCTTTGTTCCTTTGTCATACATCAATTGGCTATATTCATGTACATCTATTTCTGGGCTCTCCATTCTGTTCCATGGATCTAGTTGTCTGTTCTTTATCCAATATCACTTGGCCTTAATTACTGTAGCTTCATACTGACTCTTCATTTGTCAGTCCTCTTTGTTCTTCTACTTTGATACTGAGTCATCTACTAAGGGTTTCTTGCATCTCAAAATAAACTTTAGAATCAGTTTGTCAATATCCACAACACAACTTGCTGGGATCTTGATAAATATTGCACAGAATCTGTAGATCAACTTATGAAGAAGTGACTTCTTTTTTTTCATATTTTGTTTTTTTATTTGTAGTTGGACACAATACCTTTATTTTATTTTTATGTTGTGCTGAGGATTGAACCCAGCATCCCGCATGTGCTAGGCAAGCACTATACCACTGAGCCACAACCCCAGCCCCAAGAAGTGACACCTTAATAATGTTGAATCTTCTACTATTATTTATTTAAATATATGGTACAGGGATTGAACCCTTGGCCTTGCACATGATAAGCAAGCACCCTATCACTGAGTGGCATCCCCAGCTCATTTCATTGGAATTATAGACATGGGCCACCATGCCCAGCAACAATGTTGAATCTTCTCATTTGTGAATACCTAAATCTTAATCTCTGCATTTATTTAGTTATCTTATTTTTCATCAGTTTTATAGTTTTCTTCATGTAGACCTTGTACATATTTTTGTTAGATTTATACCTAAGTATTTCATTTTGCAGGGAGGTGCTAATGTTAATGATAGTATGTTTTTATTTATTTTTAAGTTTTCTTTGTGTATGTGTGTGTGTGGTACTGGGATTGAACACAGGGTTTCTCTATCACTGAGCTACAGTCCCATCCCTTTTTAATTAATTAATTAATTTTAACTTCGTTTTTTAGATATATATGACAGTAGATTATATTTGACATATTATACATACATGAAGTGTAACTTCCCATTCTTGTGGTTGTACTTGATGTGGAGTTACACTGGTTGTGCATTCACATATGAACATAGGAAAGTTATATCTGATTAATTCTACTGGCTTTCTTACTCCCACTCCCCCTCCCTTCCCTTTATTCCACTTAGTCTAATCTAATGAACTTCTATTCTTCCCACAACCCCTTACTATGTATTAGCATCCACATATCAGAGAGTACATTCAGCCTTTGGTTTTGGGGGATTGGCTTATTTCACTTTAGCATGATGGTCTCTGGTTCTATACATTTACTGACAAATGCCATAATTTCATTCTTCTTTATGGCCAAGTAATATTCCATTGTGTATATAAACCATAGTTTACTTATACATTCATTTGTTGAAGGGCATCTAGATTGCTTCCATAGCTTAGCTATTGTGAATTGAGCTGCTCTAAACATTGATGTGGCCATGCCACTATGGTATACTGTTTGGATTTAAGACAGTAGAGCAGATACTGAAATAAGACTTTAGGGGATGTTAGGATGGAATAATTGTATTGTACATGAAAGGACATGAATGTTGGGGGCAAAGTGGAATTTTATGAATGTGTATGTTGAAGCCCTACATACCAAAAATGTGATACATTTGGAGGTAGGACCTTACTGGGTTTAGATCATGAGGATTTGGCCCTCATGATGGGATTAATGTCCTTAAGAGAAGTGAAAGAAAAATCTGGACTCTTATTATTCTCACATGTAAGGACACAGAAAAAAGTTGGCCATTTGCAAACTAGGAAGAGACCTCACCAACACTCAATCACGCTGGCACATTGATGCCGGACTTTCAAGCTCACAGAATGTCCCTGAGAAGTAATTGTCTGCTATTACCCACCCAGTCCATAGTTTTACCATGGAAGTTTCACTGGAAAAAAATCCATTGCTAAGATATATCCAACCTCCACCCATGTTGAAGAACATTTAGGCCCAAGTCATTTCTAACAATGTTTCAATCCATGTTATACAAATTTTAAGTGATTAAAAAGAAACCCACAAATCTTCCAAATTCATTTTGCAAAAACTAGCAAAATATCACCAGGTTTGATCTAGTTCTGTACTTGACAAAAAAAAAAAAAAAAGAAAAAAATTCACTATGAACAAATCTTTTTTTTTATTCAAGAAGTATGAGGAGATTTCAATTATTTGGAAACTTGTCAACAAAATGAATTTAAAATGACATAGACCATAAAATTACAATTTAAAAAAACTTCACAAAACTTAGCAACCAAGTAATTGTCACAGTACATACCATGTATCAAGCACTATTTCAAATACCTTATACATATTAACTTATTTAATCTCTACAACCTGTGAGGTAGCTCCATTTTATAGATGGAAGAACTGAAATACAAAATAGCTAAGTGACTTGCCCAGGGTCAATGTATAAGTCTGGTGGAGTAAGGTGAATCAGGATGCTGGGTACAAAATTTATGCACGTAACCACTATACCGCTTCTTCCAAAAGCAGGAAGAAACGAAAACTTCCTAAGTACAACAGAATATTTATCAGAACCCAATAATGAACACCATATAAAACAAAACACTAAGAATGTCCCCCACCCCTGAGTTTAAAAAAAGACAAGCAATATCTGCTACATATTTAAAAACTTCTTGCTGATGTAAACATAAGTGGCATAAGATTAGAAGCTGATATAAACAAATCATTATTTATTATATAACTACCTAGAAACCAAAAAACCACTAAAACTAAAAATAATTTCGCAAGGTAACTGGATCCTGATAAAATTTTTTAAAAAATGATACTTAGGGGGCTAGGGTTGTGGCTCAGCAGTAGAGCGCTCGCCTAGCGCGAGCGAAGCTCTGGGTTCGATCCTCAGTACCACATAAAAATAAATGAGTAAAATAAAGGTATTGTGTCCAACTGCAACAACAACAACAACAATAAATAAATAAATAATACTTAGCACTGGACATGGTGGCACATTTCTGTAATCCCAGCAACTGGGGAGGGAGGCTGAGGCAGGAGGATAGAAAGTTTCCAGCCTCAGCAACTTAGTGAGACCCTGTCTCAAAATAAAAAGTAAAAGGTTTAGGGATGCAGCTGAATGATAGAGCACTGCTAGGTTCAATTCCCAGTACCACAAAATAATAATGATGACAATAATAATAATAAGGGTTATAATAATAAGGGGCTGGGGCTAGGGCTTAGTGGTATAGCACTCACCTGGCTGGCATGCATGGATTTAATCCTCAGCACCACATAAAAATAAAATAAAGGTACTGTGTCCACCTACAACTAAAATATATATATATATATATATATATATATATATATATATATATATATATATGATAGTAGTAGTGGTAAAGTTATACTAACAATGACCAAAGAAATGAAGTATGGCTTTAAAGTCACAGCTATTTTCCCTCCATCCAAATGCCTGGGCTCTCTCAGGAATACAAGGGATTCATTTCTGCTGGACTATACACCCAGTTGGTGATGTGGGAAAATACAGTTATGAATAATGTTGGTTCCCACTGCCAGAGATTTAGTGTAGTAGAGAATGCACAGACAAGAACTAGGAGGTAAAATTATAATATTAAACAGGCAGATAGTTCTACTGAAGAAGTGACCAGAAACGTCTAACTCAGGGTGAAGGGCTAGATCCATGAGCTCATATAGCGCCTGGTTGTTCCTTGGGATCAGGGAGCTCATTTCTCGGCTGCCCCACCAAAAAAAAAAAAAAGTCCTATCATTTAAAGGAAAATAGAACAAATAAAAAAATAAATACATACTAATAAATGACATAGTCCCAATTTTGTTTTGAGTTCAGTAATTTTTTTAGATCCTGAAATGGATACTTTTTTGTTATTGTATTCTGGGGAGTGTACTCAGGGCCTCATGCATGAGCACTTCCATTTTTAAATATCTCAGTCCAGTGTATGTAAGGAAGGGAGAGACTGCACCCACATTAAGGAAGGTTAGATTTGGGAGTTGGGTTTTAAAATATTTTTAAGAACTAGTGCTCAACATAGTATGTTTTTGCAGAAAGCAATAGATACCATAACCAATCTCAAAAACCTGCAAAGTTGGTAAGGAGTATACTCATATATTTTGAGAGCAATTTGCAAGGTAACTTAACAACAGTTGTACATTGCAGCATCAGTTAATTTAAAAGAATTGTGATCTAATCATAAGTTTAAAAGAAATCCAGAAGCATTTGAAGAAAAAAGTCTTTCAGAGATGAGATGGACTTTGAACAATAAATACAAGGAAACCAGATTACCAAATAGGAAGAAAAGGGTTCTACATAGAAAACACAAGAGATGAGTGAATATATATTATAATATAAAACATGGATGTGGAGGGCCATAGCAAGAACTAGGAAAGAACAAACTGATAGAATGACTTATAAATGACTATAAAAATGCTCTGTGGAACAATATTGTGGAATGACTTTATGTAGTGAAATTGAGTAGCTGCAATAACATACAGAAGATATAATCATTCCTGTTGATACACAATTTGATTATGAGATACATATTAACAAATGAGATAAATTTTAAAATAGGAAAAAGGAAGGAAGAAAAAAGCCAATCTATAAGTAAATTAAATGCCTAGACCTTACTTTCCTAATGTAGGGAAGAATCACACTAAGTTTCTTCCACCTTAGTGACCAACTGGAAAACAATAGATGATGGTCTGCTTTGCTTAATGGTTCTAACAGGAGATCAGGGTGAACATCCTTCTTAAAGAAACCTTCACGCAAAGTCCCTTGTTCTCTTTCTCAGAAAACCATGCCTTATGATGCTGAGTGAGACAGACCTGAGGGTTTCTCACCAGTGTGAATTCGCTGGTGGTGATTAAAAGTGGAACGCTGACTAAAAGCTTTCCCACATTCAATACATTCATAAGGTTTCTCTCCAGTGTGAACTCTCTGGTGCACAATAAGCTGTGAACTGTCACTAAAGGCTTTCCCACAATCATTGCATTTGTAGGGCTTTTCCCCAGTATGGGCTCTCTGATGTACCATAAGGCTGGAGCTGTAACTGAATACCTTCCCACACTCATGACATTCATAGGGCTTTTCACCAGTGTGGATTCTCTGGTGTATAATGAGGTATGAATTTTGATTGAAAGATTTTCCACACTCATTGCATTTATAGGGTTTTTCACCTGTGTGAAGCCTCTGGTGCCGAATAAGGCACTTACTCAGACTGAAAGCCTTACCACACTCACTACATTCAAAGGGCTTTTCTCCGGTATGAATTCGCTCATGGTCAACAAGCTGACAAATCTGACTGAAGGCTTTCCCACATTCACTGCATTTGTGTGGTTTCTCCCCAGTGTGGAGGCTCTGATGTTGAATAAGACATTTACTCCGACTAAAGGCCTTGCCACATTCATTACATTCATAAGGCTTCTCTCCAGTGTGGATCCTCTGATGATCAATAAGATTTCTGTTAGAACAGAAGACTTTCCCACACTCAGTACACTTGTAAGGTTTCTTACCAGTGTGAAGGACCTGATGTCGGACAAGATTTTTACTCCGACTAAAAGCTGACCCACATTCCTTGCATTCATAAGGTTTCTCCCCAGTATGGGTTCTCTGGTGATCAAATAGTTTGGAACTCTGATTAAAAGCTTTTGCACATTCATTACATTTATAGGGTTTCTCCCCATTATGAAGTCTCTGGTGTTGAAGGAGATGGGAGCTGTGCCGATAGGTCTTCCCACACTCACTGCATTCATAGGGTTTTTCCCCAGTGTGAGTTCTGAGGTGAACAATTAGCTGGGAGGTCTGCCTGAAGGTCTTACCACACTCATTACACTCATAGGGTTTCTCTCCAGTGTGGATTCTCTGGTGGCCAATGAGGTGTGAACTCCAATTGAACACTTTGCCACCTTCATCACACTGAAAGAATTTCTGTCCCTTTGGGACTCCTTGATATTCCTCAGGACTGGGGCACAGATTTGGATGTTCCCCTACTTCCTTATAATCCTCACATCTGTCTTTTGTGGAGTTCTTCTTATCCTCATCTGTTATTTCCAAAAAATTGATTTCCAAACTGTTCCCCTCTTCATCTGAGGGCTGCCCTTCCAGCTTTCTCAAAGTATCTTCACAGACATCTTCAACTTCTGGTCCCATAGAAGTGACCCCAAAGAGTCCCCCTGGTGACCTATCAGATGACTCTGATCCTTTAGAAATGGTCTGCTTTGGAGTGAATTCAGAACTCTCCATCCTGTTCTCACCTGCTGCCAAAAGAAAGAAGAAAATAACCTTTACTCACTTCATGTCCTGTTCTGGAAACAGAACCAAAAGCCTAATATATCATAAGGTTAAGGAATAAAAGAACACATTGAGAAGGGGAGAGAAAATAGGAAATATATCAGGTTTTTTCTTCAGGATAGAAAAACAAAGAGGAGGAAGATGGTCAGTGGAGGAGGTAGAAAAGGAGATACCAGGACAGAAAGATGTTGAGCCAGAACAGATAATTACACAATCAGAAAGTAGGGGCCCAGGTGGCAAAGCATGATGAAATCTTCTAGAAGTCACACCATCTCAATATTAAAATGATGAACTCTATGCTCCTTTCTAAACATGACATTGTATGGTTCCATGCTTCTCAGAAAAGATGTTGGGAGAAAGAAAGCTGGCAAACACCTCATTTTAAATACAAGAAAGAGAAAGAGCAAAGATGGGAGTGTGTTGATGAGAGATTATATTGTAAGGATATGACTAGGAAAATGTTTTAAAAGTAGAGATCTTGTATGACAGAAAAGTGACAAGATGTGAACATACTTTCAGAAATTCTGGGGAACAGTGTTGAAAAGAATAGCAGAGCTAAAAAAGTGGGAATACCATAGGTAACCAGGGCATTGCACTAGTAGGAGTCAGTTATGTACTCCTCTAAAAACCTAGGGATATAGCCCAGTGGAAGCTCACCTGCCTTGCATGTGTGAGAAGGCCCTGAGTTCAATCCCTGGCATTAGAAAAAGAAATAAAGAGAGCATCAATTATTTGAAATCTGAATTAAATGTTTGGGGATTTTTTTTTTGTACCAGGGATTGAACACAGGAACACTGAACCACTGAGCCACATCCCCAGCCCTAATTTGTATTTTATACAGAGACAGGGTGTCACTGAGTTGCTTAATGCCTCATTGTTGCTGAGGCTGGCTTTGAACTCATGATTCTCCTATCTCAGCCTCCCGAGCTACTGGGATTAGAGGTGTGAGCCACTACGCCTTGAATGGAATCTTGATTCTCTAGATTAAGAAAGAAACTAGACAGATAAGTATTTCCCGGAATTTTAAATTCTGGAATACAAAATCTGTACAGTAAAAAGCAGAGTAGTCAGTTATCACTAAAAACCACAACACTGGTTACTTTCAATCATGTCTTAACCAAGGCCAGGGCATCACACCATTTACCATATGGAAAGTTAAAAGCTCAATTACTCTCATGTCCACCCTTTGTCAAGATGGCCACTGTTATAAGTTTGTCAATCTCAGAACCTGCCCTTCCCCAGTCTTTGCAGACAGGGAAGCCCAAGCAGCCACACTTTGAGTCAGATGACCCTGAGTATCACATGAGGTGATTGGACGAGAGCTAGGCACTAGACCCAGCTGTAATTTGTCTTTAGGTTAGTCATTAGCTTCTGCTGTGGCCTCAGCAGGACACTACCAAAATACAGATGATATTTAATAGCTATAGCAATTAGAACCCTTCTCTAAGTAAATTCTGACCTGAAAACTTGGCAAAACTATAGCAATTATGAGTGAGACCTAAAGCTGAAATGAAACATGGAACCAAGTCAAACCATTTGAAGCCACAATAAGAAGAATGTATGAAGAAAACCAAAAACAGAATTGAGAAGGAACTATGATGGAGATACAAGTTTCAGAGTAAAGAAAGGGTAACAGTTGGAACAGGGAGCAGCTGTGTTACAGTCACACTGGAATACTGGCATAAAATTCATTTGCTTGTGCTGCTGAGGCTCTTGGGCTGTCCTGGTTGTGGCTCTTTCTCTTTGAGGCTCTGTTTCCTAGTCTGGTCTAGCTGATTGGTTTATTCTGGGTTCCTGTTACTGTAGCCTTAAAACACATAGCTCCTTAATACCATAGACTAGGTGATTCTCAATTCCTTACAATCTAGAAAACTCAAACTAGGTACCATATGTCCCATCAATCATGAAGTAAAGGAAATGCTCATCATTGTTAACGCTGGGTATGGGTGCAGAGAGGTTCGGTATATACTGTTCTACTTTGGAAATTTTTATAATAAAAAGTGGGGGGAAACATAGTGGAAAAAATATACAGAAGGAACTCTAAGAGAATCATTACCCAATGAGACCATGCTATAATAACTTTCTATCATCATGTTCTGGTACAGGGCTCTCTGCCTCAGGGCAGAGCCTTTCCACTTTTTCCGTACATAGTCTACAGACAGGTCCTCATGCATTTAGTCTCCTGAAATGACAAGTTTCTACCACTCAAGAACAGTCCCAGCCTGAAGGGCAGAGTCACAAAGGGTGCAGAGGGCACAGGGTACAGTCTCTTGATAACTGTAAAGGATAAGTCTATGGTAAAGCACTTGCCTAGCAAGCATGAGGCCCTGGGATCAATCCCTGGTACTGCAAAACAGGGGTAAAAAAAAGAAATGGAAAATCCAGGACAAAATAGAGTCCATTAACTGTGAATAGGGACCCAGCTCTAGGGTCATTTAGGCATGAGCCTCAGGAGCTGCCTCAGGGCAGAGACCCATAGGTAAGCTCCAGTCACATTTGGGTCATAGACATGGGAACTCGGGGGAAAATATAAAAAAGAAAAGAAAAATCCATGCTCATCTGGGGCCTCACTGTTATTACTGGGATCTTATTTCCCCAAAAAGTTCATGTGTTAAGGCTTGGCCCCCCATGCATCAGTGTTCAGAGGTGGGGCCTTTGGGAGGTAATTGGATCATAAGGGCTCTGACATGAAAAGATTCATGTACTTATGGATTCATTGTTTAATGGGCAATTGCAAAATACTACAAACTTTAGGAGATATGGACCTATTTGGAAAAGGGATGTCACTAAGGGCACACACTTGAAGAATATATTTTATTCTCGGCCCCTTCCTATTTTTGCTGTTTCTGGGCCACCATGAGATGATTACCTTTATTCCACCACATGTTTCCCGCCATGATGTTCTTTTGAAGGACCCCAAGGCCCCAGGCCCAACATTAGGAAATCTAACCCCTGTGCCCTGAAGCTGCAAGATGTTCCCTTACACAACCCCCATGTCAAAACCCCACCAGCTGCAAGTAGCACTTCAAGTCTTGCACAATGCTACCACAAGATGTTCCATAAAGATAACCCCGGAAGGGCCAAACTTGAGCAAACAGGGTGAAAACAGGAACTAAAAGGACAGGATGCAATTTTATGGTTTTTCCGAGAACTAAAGTGGAAAAACAAGTTTACCCCCCAGGTGACCTAAAGGCTGGATTCAGAGGAACCAACAGAATAACTGTTACTGTGCTAAGCTAAAAACTAACCCCCTGCTCCCTATAAAAGATCTGTGCCCTAGAGCCCGGTGTGCCAGTCACCGAAGCTCCGGCTGAGGTTCCACTGAGCACCCGCAGGCGCCTGTGTATGAATAAACAGCCTCCTGCTTCTTGCAGCCAGTGTCTCGTGTGGTTCATTCCGGGTTTGAGATCTGTGGTTCTTTCACTTTCTGCCTCATCACATTCCCATGAACAACATAGCCAAGTGACCATGTACTGAAACCTTTGGTACTGTGAGCCTTTAAGTCTTTCTTCCTTTAATTTCATTTCTTCATGCAGTTACAGAAATAGAAAGCTGACTAATATACTGATCATCTGAAGCACAGGGGCTGCTGCTTGGTTTCTTGAGTTCCCCATGTGGGAAAGGGCACAACTGTAGATGTAAACTGAGTTGAGAGAGGGAAGAAAGTAGGCCAAGCCCAGCCCTCAGCTCCCATAAGGATTATATTACCAAGGAGAAGATTCAAGAGAACACAGGCAGCTCTATACACTGATTCTGGGCCCTCTTCCTACAAGCTTTATCTCACATGTGCTGTGACTGTTTCTTAAAGGGCATAATGGGAGGTCCCTGATCAAACTGAGAACTGGGTGTTCCTCTTAGCCTGCACTCTCTTCAACCTTCCTGAAAGAAGCTATGTTTCTGACTATGTTCTCTCTCTGCCATGGCTTCCCTATCACCAGCCAAGCCTGATTTTCCCTCAGGTCTCTGGTCCCTTAAGTTCAGGTCTCTTCCTGTTCCTGCCATGTCATGGACACTCTTGGAAGTCTAGCCTAGTGCTTCCTTCTTTTCTGTCAACGAATTCAGTGGTTCTCATGGCTTTCACACTTCTAGCTTCTCTCACTTGCTACCATGCACGAGGCCCTGGATTCTATCCCCAGCCCTGCAAAAAAAAAAAAAAAAAAAAGTATGAATGTACTTAATGCCACAAGTGGTTAAAAGGGTAAATTTGTAGATACTGTATGGCAAATGTCATGTATGTTTTATTTTATCAAATACTTCATCACAACACTACTCATAAATTTTTAGAAAGCAGAAGCATGACCCTATTCCATAATCAAAATACATATGTACCAAAGGAAAATATATTTATGTACCATGCATGAGTGTACATGCTCCTGCACATGTATTTAATCTATTAAATCACAGGTTTTCAATTCTGTGATTATTTCAACGAAATTGACAAGGGTACATTAAAATAGGTTGGAAATGATAACATGTAGCTTAAATATATATGTACATATGTGTGTGTCTTAAATGTGTATATATGTATTATATGAATTATATAATATTATGTATTACATTATATAACATATAATTATATTAATTGATGTTACCTTTAAATGTAATAAGGTTACCATATATTTATATTATACATTATTTACTGTATTTTGGGGCTAGGGTAGTAGCTCAGTGGCAGAACGCTGGCCTAGCATGTGTGAGACCCTGGGTTTGATCCTCAGCACCACATAAAAAGTAAATGAATACAGTAAAAGGTATTGTGTCCACCTACAACTAAGAAAATATTTAAAAAAAAAAAAAAAAGTTCTTGGGGCTGGAGAGACCTGACTCCAGATCCTCCACACCGGGAGGCCGACCCCATAGACTCCACAGAGCGGCCCCTCCCAGAGCAGCTAAAGACCGCCGCCCTCGGGAGTCCAACCCGCACAGATGAACTGCCAGGTAAAGGCGGTCGGGGTCCGGGTTTTTGGCTACCGCGCCGCCACGTC